GCCCAAGTGCCATAACTTAAATTTACACAATGTAAAATCAAGAAATCGGTATATGTCCAAACAATAGATCAAAATCAACATTCTTGACTATAATTTTGTGATTGGGTTGTTCAAAGCATACGAAAATATATCCGTTTCTTGATCAAAACCTTCATTTAATTCCTCATTTTCCAATAACTGCAATTGCGCACCTGTTCAATTGAAAAAGCTTTTATAATTAAACAACATTTGAATTTTGATGTACTAAAGTTAATACATAGCTAGAAGTGAATATTATCAATCTTACTTTTTATTTCTTCGTGTGAGCGACAAAAAGAGCAATGCGCTTTATTGAAAAATAATTCCATGAATTGTTGATTCTCAATCATCTCCTACAATACAAAGACATTAACCATTTTAAATTAGTCTTGTAAACAATAATAAAAAACTATTGTTATTGATAATATATGTACAAAAAGATCATACAATATAAAGGAAAATCATTTAAACTGATTGTGTTACCTTTGTGAGAAGTATACCATCTCTTGTGCAACCATACAATATAAAGAATGCAACCGCCGTTAATGATTTAAATACGTGCGGAACATTTTCACGGATATATTCCTATCCCACCAAAATAAATAAATAAATAAATTGTAATTGTTATTTGTGGCTAAATGAATAATATATAAGTATATAAAATTATGCTATTTTAATTTTACCTTATCACATACTTTTGATCGGTTGCGCTTTTTCATTTTCATGACCCATCCTTGTAAGCGTTGTTGTAGTGATAGATTATGCATTGATTGAATTGCAATATCTATTGGTTCAATCACTCGGACTATATTGTGTTTTTCTTGAATAGGCAAAAACTCTATTCGCACATCCACTTTTTCTTGGTCATAATATGGAAACAAGTGATACATGTCTTTTTCACATGTTGCAATCTGTAAATAATAACATATATTTGACATAAAAGACAAAGTTATATTCAATTGTAAACAAAAAAATTAATTCCATAAACTTACTAACTTATTTTTATGAATATTAGGATTATGGAATAGGTTAATATATATATATGTGTATGTATATATATAAATTCTAGTTATTATAAGGTAAAACTCAAGCCTAAATGCGTGGAATTGAATATGCGCTAAAATTGCACGTAACAATTCATATTTGTTTATAAGAGAAGTAGCTAATTAAATATTTATTCATTAGATTATTTGGAATAGTACATTATATAATCCATTAAACATAATGGAAGAAACAAATAACTAGAAAACTTGGTAGATAACTAATACAAATGAATAGTTTAAATAAACAAAATAATTTAAGCACGTATGGTGTGATAACCGAATAGTACATAATGCCGTTATACATTACCTTAGTATAACATATCATTTGATTGTTTCGAAACTGCATACCTTGTTTTCATCATTTTTTAATTTTTTGACTATAAGATCACTATTTCCTTGAGATTTTCTTACCGGATGGAAATTTATGATATGGATAATGTGATTTATAGTGGAATTTAGGTAAATAAAAAAAAAATTGCGCTAACAATACCTTATGTACTTGAAGAATATATTGTGCATCATTGTCATGATGCTGGAAGAGCCCGAATGAGACTGCTTGAAGTGCCCTAAATCTAACCTAATAAATTGTACCAATAAAATTAACTTATAATATAATATTGTATATGGAAATAAATATTAATATGGATGTCAAAGTAGAAAAAAGTAAAATAAATTTACTTTGTAAGTTCTTCTAACGACACCTCTACTGCCTGCCCGACTATCTGAGTGTCTAGCGCTACATCCCGGTAAATCCTGCAAATAATAACAATATAGTCACAAGTTTATTATATAAGAGTATAACTGTTAAATTGTAATTTTTATGCTAGGATTTTTCTCAATTTCATACACTTTTATTGAATTGCAAGGTGCAAAATTGGGGCAAAAACCATAATGCGGTCCAAGTTTTGTCATTGATGGCAATTGTTTCTTTTATACTTAATAAAGCTTATGAAACAATATCTGAAAAAATTAACAAGTATCATTATCTAGACCATCATCAATAGATTTCCATTTCATTATGTATTATATGATTACTACAAAGTGTGTGTGTATATATCAATAAATACAACTAATCAAAATATAATTAGGTAGTTGGATAGAATTACCATTTTTCCTTCTAGATGAGAGTATAAAGTTTTCATTTAAAACAAAGGTCACAAATTATGGTGCACAAATTTTTACTCTCAATTCCATAAAGAGAACAATTATTTTACAA